CGGAGGCATGATTCCCGGAACCCCTCAACGTGGTTTTAGAGAAAAAAAGTCACAGCATTACACCACGCCATGTTTTTGAAGATATAGACACATACTACATGAATTATACATGATAATCTCTATATACAGTATACCGAAATTAAGACATTTGAAACGGTGAGAGACAATACGGAGAACTCTCTGAGGACATGAACACCCTAAATGAAATGAATATAAGATGATAAAACCACATAAGAGTTCGAAGATAACACGTGAAACTGTGAGATATAACATGGGAGAACTTATCAGTTATTTATGAAAATACTCTGTACAATGTACCGGAGAAAAAGAGGCAAAACACACGAGGAAAATTTCAGTCCTTTGTGAACCCATAACACTTGTCATTGCATATTAACTACATTACGAGGTGGCGCTAAACCCATTAGGAGTATGCATCTTTTGAGGAATAGAAGGAAAGGTGGGGTGCAATTAGGTAGCCACACTGCGCATGTTCCCACTATGGAACTAACAGAATATGGCGAACGAACACTAAGGGGAATTCGTGACCATATAACTATCATATAGAATTGGATAACCGCACACTGAAGGTGTTTCTACAGTGCAACTCGGAATAGTGTAGCCACACACTAAAAATACAACTCAGAAATGTTAAGCCAGATAGCGGATCTTAGTTATATAATGACCCGCCACTAGAACTTTTGGTCATCTGACCGAGGCCTTCCACTAGCTTACCGATCCATCCCTTTAAAATTAATATATTTTAATTTTGTGTGTACTCACAGAAAATAGCAGTCATACATTGCGGAGATTACCATAAAATAACGTTCATATAGCGGCACACTGTGGGTGTTTCCACCATGCAACTATCGTAGAGAATTAGGTAGCCGCACTGTGGATGCTATCACCATGTAACACAAACTAGAGAAAAGTTTACCCTCCCGTTCCAAGGGAAATTACACATACATAAATTTCGCCAAACAGAATAATTCATGGAATCGAAAGTAATTTAGGTAAACATTCATAAATATCATGAAATGGGATAGAATAATTTAAGGTTTATATATAAAAATGAAATGGCGGCAACGATTAATATCAGCTACGTAGATCAGGAGAGATTTAAAGAAGGAACTAACCCATTTTTAACAGGCAACTGATCAATATGAAGGTCTGGCCATGCCTTCTTCCTAGACGTTAATACCCCTTACAATGTCATCTGCACTTGCAACTACAACCATCACTGCTAACAGCACCATTCCATCGCCGCCTCTACCAAATTTACTAGCATTAACACCAAGCACTCCCACCACCATTACACCATCACTCCAATACACCGCTAACATCGTCTTCACCACCGTCACCGCCGAAGCTAAACTATATGTTTCAAGACGATCACCGCCATCACTGCAAGGCAATCGCCATCAAACCTCCTCCCTTCGCCTCCTCCTCCTCACGTCTTCGTGTAGCTACACACTGCGGTTGTATTTAATCTGATTAAAGAAAAAATAAAATATAACTATGCCATAACCACTCTGTCAAAATACCGTTATTCCCACCGTCAACATATATGATGGATTAACAGCAGTTTACACATGTGAATAACAAGCGTGGATACACCCGCTTGTTATTCACACTAACAAGTTTATGAGTATGATATGTATAACCTTAAGGTTTACTATACTAATAGCAGGAGTGTTAGAAATAAGATAGATGAGCTAAGATTAATTGCAAGTGCAGGAAACATAGATATTATTGCTATAACAGAGACCTGGCTCAATCTGAAAGATAGAGAGATGCCCTCTGAATGTCACATACAAGGCTATAAATTATTCCACACTGACAGGGTCAACAGGAAAGGTGGTGGAGTAGCGATGTATGTCAGAGACAATTTAAATTGTTGTGTAAGACAAGATATTAAATTAGAAGCGTCAGCCACTGAATCTGTTTGGTTACAGCTTCTCGAGGGCCGAGAAAAACTAATTTTGGGTGTGATTTACAGGGCCCAAATCGTGATAGGGAGTGCAGTAAACTTCTATGGGACGAAATTCGTAAGGCATCTACATACGAAAATGTTGTGCTAATGGGAGATTTCAACTATAGACAGATTGACTGGAGCAATTTGACAGGAATTTAGAGTCGGGTGACTTTCTTGATACGATCCAGGATTGTTTTTTAAAACAGTTTGTGACAGAGCCAACTAGGGAAATAACCTCCTTGACTTGGTTCTTGCCAGTAGGGAAACACTAATTAATAATCTTGAGGTTAATGATGAGCTTGGGGAGAGTGATCACAAATCACTCAGTTTTAATATATTATGGAATTCCCTAATAATGGCAATCAAGTCTCCGTCCCTGACTTTCGCTTGGCTGATTTCATAGGACTGAAAAATTACTTAGGTGGGCTGAACTGGAATGACCTGACTAAGGGTCAGGTAGGTGGTGATGGTTGCCGATATGATGCTTTCCAGGGCATAGTTCTAGCTGCTCAGTCAAATTATGTTCCAAATAGGGAAATCAGATCAAACAAAAATGATCCTAAATGGATGAACAATAGATTAAAATATCTGATTGGTCAAAAGAGAGGCATATATAGGCAAATCAAAAGAGGAGAGGGCCAATTAAGAAATCGATATATTCAGTTAAAGAGAGAAATAAAAAAGGGAATTAGAAAAGCGAAAAGAGATTATGAGGTTAAAGTTGCAAGAGAATCGAAGACTAACCCAAAAGGATTCTTTCAGGTATACAGAAGTAAGATCAGGGACAAGATAGGCCCACTCAAAAGTTCCTCGGGTCAGCTCACTGACAGTGATAAGGAAATGTGTAGAATTTTTAACACATACTTCCTCTCAGTTTTTACACAGGAGGATACCAGCGATATACCAGTAATGATAAATTATGTAGAACAGGACGATAATAAACTGTGCACTATTAGGGTCACAAGTGACATGGTCCTTAGGCAAATAGATAAATTGAAACCTAACAAATCCCCAGGCCCTGATGAACTGTATGCAAGGGTTCTAAAGGAATGTAAAGAGGAGCTTAGCACACCTTTGGCTAATCTTTTCAACATATCACTACAAACTGGCATGGTGCCAGATAAGTGGAAAATGCAATATGTGATACCTATTTTCAAAACAGGTGACAGGTCCTTAGCTTCGAACTATAGACCAATAAGCCTAACCTCCATAGTGGGAAAATTTATGGAATCAATAATTGCCGAGGCAGTTCGTAGCCACCTTGAAAAGCATAAATTAATCAACGAATCTCAGCATGGTTTTACAAAGGGGCGTTCCTGCCTTACGAATTTATTAACTTTTTTCACTAAAGGTATTGAGGAGGTAGATCATGGTAATGAATATGATATTGTGTATATGGACTTCAGTAAGGCTTTGACAGGGTCCCACATCAGAGACTTTTGAGGAAAATTAAAGCACATGGAATAGGAGGAGAAATTTTTTCCTGGATAGAGGCATGGTTGACAAATAGAGCAGAGAGTTTTGCATAAATGGGAGAAATCAGAGTGGGGAAGCGTCACGAGCGGTGTTCCACAGGGTCAGTGTTGGGCCCCCTGCTGTTCACAATCTACATAAACGACATAGATGAGGGCATAAAGAGCGACATCGGCAAGTTTGCCGATGACACCAAAATAGGCCGTCGAATTCATTCTGACGAGGACATTCGAGCACTCCAGGAAGATTTGAATAGACTGATGCAGTGGTCGGAGAAGTGGCAGATGCAGTTTAATATAGACAAATGCAAAGTTCTAAATGTTGGACAGGACAATAACCATGCCACATATAAACTAAATAATGTAGATCTTAATATTACGGATTGCGAAAAAGATTTAGGAGTTCTGGTTAGCAGTAATCTGAAACAAGACAACAGTGCATAAGTGTTCGCAATAAAGCTAATAGAATCCTTGGCTTCATATCAAGAAGCATAAATAATAGGAGTCCTCAGGTTGTTCTTCAACTCTATACATCCTTGGTTAGGCTCATTTAGATTATGCTGCACAGTTTTGGTCACCGTATTACAGAATGGATATAAATTCTCTGGAAAATGTACAAAGGAGGATGACAAAGATGATCCCATGTATCAGAAACCTTCCTATGAGGATAGCTAAGGGCCCTGAAACTGCACTCTCTAGAAAGACGTAGAATTAGGGGGGAATATGATTGAGGTGTATAATGGAAGACAGGAATAAATAAAGGGGATGTAAATAGTGTGCTGAAAATATCTAGCCTAGACAGGACTCGCAGCAATGGTTTTAAGTTGGAAAAATTCAGATTCAGGAAGGATATAGGAAAGTACTGGTTTGGTAATAGAGTTGTGGATGAGTGGAACAAACTCCAAGTACCGTTATAGAGGCCAGAACGTTGTGTAGCTTTAAAAATAGGTTGGATAAATACATGAGTAGATGTGGGTGGGTGTGAGTTAGACCTGATAGCTTGTGCTAACAGGTCGGTTGCCGTGTTCCTCCCTTAAGTCAATGTGACCTGACCTGACTAGGTTGGGTGCATTGGCTTAAGCCGGTAGGAGACTTGGACCTGCCTCGCGTGGGCCAGTAGGCCTTCTGCAGTGTTCCTTCGTTCTTATGTTCTTATTTAATATGACATATATTGTTGACAAAAATGCTTCACACAGGATTGGTTTTATACGAATGATGATAAAATCTGTCAGCATGAGCTGGGAAACTTCCGCTAAACGATGAGGATACCATTAAGGGTACATTGTCAGGCAACCTATGGGAAATTCAAAGATTATGACCATGTGCATAACTTCGTGAGAGGCAAAAATGATCTGGAAATGGCATGTAAATGAAAAAGGTAGGAGACCAACTGAAAATTGCGAGGGGAAAAGAATGGTGTGGTAAATAACGTCTTTCGGTCGCGGACCATGTCCAGAAACATGGTGGTGGCCATGACAGTACTGGCACGCTAGGCTCACGGCTCTTCAATACTGACGTCACATACTGTACATCACCAACTTTACACTCCACCAAACCTGTCAACCACCAAGTCAAGACGCCACCGAATATGGTGAAGTTCAGTGACCTTTGAAGCTCGCACGATCTGGAATACGTGAAAGGATTCAAGCACAACTTTTTTAAATTCCCGAAATTTACGTTCAAATACACTGTGTGTCTTTAGTTTTTGGTAGGAAGCAGCAACGGCAGTTGTAAGCTACCGCTGTGTTTAGGTCAGACTAGCCAGTGTATGTGACAGAGCCAGGATATATAATTAGCTGTGATATATTCCCATCATCTTCGTGCTTTACGTAACAACTTGATCGTCATTACAACCCGCACTATCTTCGTCTACAACTATAATCTGAATCCACAAGATGGTAATTATATTCACAGAAGTTATAAACCCATAGGGGTCTTTGGGAATAAGAGGTAATCAGATTCGATGCAAGAAAGGACAGGTCCAATTCCCTGAATCAAAAGCCCATTACCGACGTCAATGAATCTCCCCAAAGACGATTAAATCTGAGTTTTTAGCTAACCTTTGGCAGTTCTGCATGATATACAGTGTATATGTGATAACTGTCCTAAGGATCATTGTCCCCTTCGGTCCGGTTTCAGTGGGAAATCACAGACTACTTGGCAGAAATAAAGTTGCAGGAATATAAGGAATGTGTGTAAAAAGAGGCTTGTAAATGGATGCAAAAATGCGAATGAATCAGAGCGGAGTCAGTGGTTGTTGTATGGACGTGAACGAGCAAATATAAAAACTGCGTGTTAGACCAGAGTAGAAGCGAGTAGTGTATGTGATTTGATGTGCTGTTAGAGTGGGAACCTGGTAATACATTATGTATAAATGGATTCAGAGAAACCGGAAAGCCAATCCTGGAAGTTGGGAAGTACAGTTTCAGCGCTCTGAGAGTCGAGCGGACATGCCAGTGTTCTAGAAAGGAAGCTGGAGACGAAGTGACTGGTCACTTTTTCTTTGAGCCACCTTGTCTTAGGGGAAAAGAGCCGAAGAATTAAAAATGAGAATGATTTACTCGGCGAGATGTGAAGACACATGAGCAAACACTAACATTTTTTTTAGAAAACGTTTCGGTTCTGGGACCTTGTTCACGCCAACTGCTGTTTACGGAGAAGTGATCAAGGTCCAAGGACCGGAACGTTTTCTAATACGTCAGTGTTTGCTCACGTCTTTTTAAACCACTTATTGGTATCAATTACCAAGGTGTGTACCAAGATGACTGAAGATAATATCTTCGTTGTAGTTTATCTGATAATTTTAATGTCATGAATTTCATGAATCAATCTACCTATTCACCTGTGTGCGTATCCTTAAGTTTACCGTGCGTGAATCAAGATCTGAGCGTCCAATATTTCAAAAGGTTCACGCAACTTAGAAAAGTGACACATTGTCAAGAACTCACAGTTTCTGACAGTTCTCGACTCATTTATGGTTTGCATATGTGAATACATGACAGGTCCAATATTTACATGATGGTATGGTGCAATGCTGAAGGTTCAGAAGCACAGGTGCAAGCAGGAGAGGAAGATACCAGGGAGGGAGGGAGAGAGAGAGAGAGAGAGAGAGAGAGAAGAGAGAGAGAGAGAGAGAGAGAGGAGTATTGTATATTTTCAGGAATGAACTATAAATTTCTAGAAAAGTATGTGACTACTAACAATTGGAATAAATCGAGATAGTTGATGCGGTATAGAAACTTTATACAAGACTATGCTTCGCTCACGCAGGAACTTTTTCAAGCTGTTGACTTTATAAAGGTGCGTGAGCAAAACGGTCATTTATAAAGATTCGATACTGCATTAACGTGGCATTCCAGCCATGAAGCCGAAATGCCAGTGTTAGGCCTGTGTCGCGAGGAACCACTTGAGAGAGCAACAATTTACAGCTAATCCACAAACTGGATGTGAAAACACGACTGCAAACAATTCACAAAACGATGAGGCTCGAACCTATAGCAGGCGAGTCCTTAAACTCAGGCCCGTGTACTAACCAACAGCCGGACATAAGTTTGACCTCTACCCGTTCTGTGATTCGGATGTGAAACTATAGCAAGTTGATAATGGTCTAAGACGGACAGAATCGTCGTTTTTATTATAGTACCTCTAATTAGTTGCGCATTGGTATCAAGTTTGCCATATTGCAGTCATCTAGCAATTCACCCACCATAAATAATTTGTTAAAGCTGCATGTGTGCTTGTGAGCAGCTCACATGGAATTTCAGCTACTCTCACTTTAATGGTGATATTCCCTTTGGTCCTGATGCCTCTAGTATGTCAAGTTGCATCAAGGGTCACCACACACCCTTATTAGTAGTTCCAATAACTGACAGTTCTTTTATCCACACTTTTACCTGTGGTATTGACTCTGGCTCATTTGTAAACACAGGCAAGTTTTTGTTGTCCCTTACTGCATTCTTACCTGTCATTTCCCCAGAGTATTTACCTTCATTTGTCACTGATACTATTTAATATCTATTATTATTTTTCCTTCTGGTGTGTCTGCGAAGTAGCTTTCACTCAGATATCCATTTCAAATTAATTATACTTTAGTTACCCATTCAACTTTCAATTTAATGTTCCGGACCAAACTATTCAACCTGATTTACGAACTTTTTACATAATCCCCATGCCTATTTCTAAAAGATAAAAAAAAATAAAAATATCTGAGTATGAAATTTGGTTTAATCTGTAGTATATGCTTCAACTTGCTCCACACGAGAGTACAGAAGGGGGCAGAGCACACACACGCACACACACGCACACACACACGCGCACGTACACACACACACACACACACACACACACACACACACACACACACACACACACACACAAGGGCAAAAGACGTCTCCGTAGAGCAGAGTACCACAACCACCATCACAATGGCAGGATAATCCCAGGTAATCAATACTCCAATCCCAGTATATCGTCTGCTATGGGTTTCTTTACGCTGTCACCTCTTACGCCACCTCATTCCTCACCAGCATGAGCGAGCGAGTGAGGGGGGGAGGAAGAGAAGAAAGGTAGGAAGACAGAGAGGGAGAGGGGAGAAGGTGGAGCAAGGGAGTGGGGGAAGGGAGAGAAAGGAGGAAAAATGAAGGAAGAGGATGAGAAGGGAGAGGAGGAAAGGGTGAGGGGGGAAAGGAAGAAAGCGGAAGGGGAGGGAACTGGGGAAGGGAGGGAAGGAGAATGGGAGGAAGAGGAATGGAGAGGAAAAGAAAGAATGTGTTAATTGCAGCGTGGTGAGGGGGGGGGGGGAGGCTGCAAGTCTTGAGATGAGCTGACAGAAGATTGAGCCTTTATTTATCACTTCTCGTTTTGAATGACTCCCAAAATAATAATAATAATTATTAGCATTATTATTATTCGCATTTGCCCACCCAATAACCAACAACAATGACAAATAAAATGTTTAATGCATCTACTCTTTATCACAATACAAACAATATTCTAACTAAAATGCAGAAATACAGGGTGTATTGAACACGGCGCTAATACCCAACGGACACTGTCAAGGTTACAAACATCTCTGAACCTGTTCTGAAATCTGTTCAAATGAAAATAGATACGCGTCTATTGCAATCAACATCAAATACGTCGTTCATCATATAGCGAGGAGTTTAAAACATAATGCTGGGTTTATATTGCAATTGTTTGCATGTACATCGAAGGATTAAATCTGAGTAACGACTGGGTATATTTATTGTGTAGACGTGTCACCAACTAGTGACTTTATCAATACAATACATGGACAAAAACAGAGGACTGAAGAGGTAGAAAATGAGGCAATCAATCCTTCAGCAAAGCAGCAGGTGGTGATGAAAATATAACGTAAGGAAGGGGGGGGGGTCAAAAAAAAAAAGATACCTTGGTTTGTTTTATAACTGGTTGCAACTCGATCGCTAACACTTTATTCTTCTAGGCTGATAATACCTTAACTTTACTTGTAAAGGCTGCAAGCAGAACGCCAGGTTTGTATTACAAAAGCTGCAAATAAGCTTGAATTTTAAACTATGTTTCGGTCCGTGTTGGAACACTGTCAAGACTGACCGAAACATCGTGGTTTCCTCCCTACAGTTCCTTAATTGTAAATTTTTCCGCATATGGTGTTGTGCCTTTTTATTCTTCAGTACAGTGTCTATGTGCCTCATGCATTGAATGGCTCTCATGTGTTTAATATAAAGTTAATGAGCATGCTTAATAATTAATGACTGTTTATCAGAGCGGAACAACTACTGCAGAACCAAGTGGTGTACACCGGCAAGCCTAGTCTGTAAAGCGAAACGTAACTAGAATTTATTGTAACCCAAATATGAACCATCTAAATTTATTATTGAGAAGCACTAAACCGACAGGGTTTATACAGTGCTTGCCACCTGGTATCAACCTTGTTGACCAAATAATCCTTTTTAAGCTAGGCTTAGTACGAACCTTAATTAATTATGCTGACTAATCCCTCCTGTTAATCACCGCACAAAACTGTTTTAAATTTGCTCTGTTATTTCCTAAACTGTAGAATAAAAGTCGCAATATCGTGGCTGGCACAATTCACAACCCACAATTGTTCCGGAAAGGAAACGTTAAATGACGTTCCATGGACTATCATTGTCTCTCGCGGCTTTGATAATGGTGCAGGATGAACAGAAGCTCCTTTTTAAGCTTCTAACCTGAATTTTATGAAGCTCCTCAAAGTACATGTGGTAACGACGACGATACTTGGCAGCCGTTCCACTCGTCTGGCTTAAAGAGGCACAGTTTGTTAGATTTATGACCTACAGATTACATTAGGTCATTAAACTGAGAGGTATAAAAATACTGTAAATAACCCTTTCCCCTGCCCGACCCAGCAGTTGTAAAACCAATACTGCAAAATCAATACTTAACTTTTATCTTTCTATCCAATGTTTCAACCTCTGCCAACAACACACACACACACACACACACAATATATATAATATATATATATATATATATATAATATATATATATATATATATATATATATATATATATATATATATATATATATATATATAATATATATATATATATATATATATATAATATATATATATATATATATATATATATATATAATATATATAATATATATATATATATATATATATATATATATATATATATATATATTATATATATATATATATATATATATGCAATAAGATCACAGTAAACAGGTGATTTCAAAATATGCAAAACAACCACTCTGAAAGAATAGAGAAATTCCAAGCGCTTTCGTGACTACTCACATTATCAAGGAACTATGATAATGTGAGTAGTCACGAAAGCGCTTGGAATTTCTCTATTCTTTCAGAGTGGTTGTTTTGCAGTTTTGCATATATATATATATATATATATATATATATATATATATATATATATATATATATATAATGTCGTGCCGAATATGTAAAACTGATCAATTAGCAAGAACTCATTTAAAATTAAGCCCTTTCTAAAAATTTCTCTAATACGTTTAAAGATATATTTTTTTCATTAATGTTAGTGTAAAAATTTTTAATTTTGCACCAAAAGAATATTAGAAAACTTAGATAACCTTATTATAACAAGAAGAATTTATTTTAGCATAACCCAACTAAATATATTTTAGATTTGTTTACAGTAATTTAAGACTAAACAAACACAGTGAAATATATTTTTTTCGTTGGGTTCAGAACGATTTTGGCGAAATTATTGCATACACAAATTTTCACTTGTCCTATATGGCAAGATGAGCGTTGCTATTTAAGCCAAGATCGCAAGTTCTGCCTATTCGGCACGACATATATATATATATATATATATATATATATATATATATATATATATATACACACACACACACACACACACACTAGGACCAGTGGTATTTTTGATATACGCATGTGAATGACATGATGGAAGGGATAGACTCAGAAGTGTCCCTGTTTGCAGATGATGTGAAGCTAATGAGGAAAGTTAAATCGGATGAGGATCAGGCAGGACTGCAAAGAGACCTGGACAGGCTGGAAGCTTGGTTCAGCAACTGGCTTCTCGAATTTAACCCCGCCCAATGCAAGGTCATGAAGATCGGGGACGGGCAAAGAAGACCACAGACAGACCACAGACAGAGTATAAGCTAGGTGGCCAAAGACTGCAAACCCCACTCAAAGAAAAGGATCTTGGGGTGAGTATAATACCGAGCACATCTGAGGCGCACATCAACGAGATAACTGCTGCAGCATATGGGCGCCTGGCAAACCTGAGAATAGCGTTCCGATACCTCAGTAAGGAATCATTCAAGACTGTACACCGTGTACGTCAGGCCCATACTGGAGTATGCAGCACCAGTTTGGAGCCCACACCTGGTCAAGCACGTCAAGAAACTAGAGAAAGTGCAAAGGTTTGCAACAAGGAGTTTCATAGCTACCTGGAGGTTATTCCGGGGATCAACGCCCCCGCGGCCCGGTCCATGACCAGGCCTCCCGGTGGATCAGGGCCTGATCAACCAGGCTGTTACTGCTGGCAGCACGTAGTCCAACATACGAGCCACAGCCCGGCTGATCCGGCACTAACTTTAGGTATCTGTCCAGCTCTCTCTTGAAGGCAGTCAGGGGTTTATTGGTAATTCCCCTAATGCTTGATGGGAGGCTGTTGAACAGTCTTCGGCTCCGGACCCTTATGGTGTTTTCTCTTAGTGTACCAATGGCGCCCCTACTTTTAATTGGGGGCATTTTGCATCGCCTGCCCAGTCTTTTACTTTCGTAGGGAGTGATTTGTGTGTGTGTAGATTTGGGACCATTCCTTCCAGGATTTTCCAAGTGTAGATTATGATATGTCTCTCCCTCCTGCGTTCCAACGAGTACAAGTCAAGTGCTTCCAAGCGTTCCCAGTAGTTAAGGTGCTTGACAGAACTTATACGTGCAGTAAAGGATCTCTGTACACAGCTAAGGGGAATGTCCTACGAAGAAAGGTTAAGGGAACTCGGCCTGACGACACTGGAGGACAGGAAGGTCAGGGGAGACATGATAACGACATACAAAATATTGCGAGGATTTGACAAGGTGGACAGAGACAGGATGTTCCAGAGACGGGACACAGAAACAAGGGGTCACAAATGGAAGTTGAAGACTGAGTCAAAGAGATGTTAGGAAGTATTTATTTAGTCACAGAGTTGTCAGGAAGTGGAATAGTCTGGCAAGTGATGTAGTGCAGGCAGGAACCATACATAGTCTGAAGACGAGGTATGATAAAGCTCATGGAGCAGGGAGAGAGGACCTAGTAGCGATCAGAGGCGCGGGGCCAGGAGCTGTCTCGACCCCTGCAACCACAAATAGTTGAGTACACACACACACACATCTATATCAATGTAAATACAATGTTTCATTTACTTCCTAATTTAGGATTAAAAAAAAAAGAAAAAAAAAGTCTTGACTTTTGGTGAACATCTCATATACAGGCTTTAAAATGCACATTCCTTTGCTCATTTTTCACTTTATGATTTTCGGTCATTTTTTATGACACTACCGTTTGTCCAATTCATTCAAATAACCCCTCCTACGATATTCAAGATATAAATTCTAATTTAAAACGAAGTAACCCGTATCCGAAGTGTTACATAAAACTCTTCAAAATTCCTATAGTGTAGTGTGCTCCTTACTCTGGCAGCATCATAAACTGTGTTAGGGAGGGAGGGAGGGAGGGAGGGGGATGTCCCTGGATACCCCTAACACACACACACACACATATATATACGACACAAGTCCTCTAGGTCACCTAGGAGAGCGTTCGTGTCCTTGAACAACCTTGACCCAGATATGAAGGAGAGGGGTCCGCCTAACTTTCAACCGCTACATGCACATTCAATACTCCTTTGCTAAAAAGGCGTTCCTCAACTAGACTAACTATATTTTTTTTTCGTATCCAAGTTTAGCCTACACTAACATGCTATATCCAAGTACACAAAGTTGAAGTATCATTAAACTGCTACCAAGTTATGCGGTCGCACCACGTTTGAATTTGTGTGTGGGAGTGTTTGTGTTAATTGCCAATGTCAAAAACACTTGTCGAAAGACACCTTGCCTATTTTGTGTGTGTGTGTGTGTGTGTGTGTGTGTGTGTGTGTGTGTGTGTGTGTGTGTGTGTGTGTGTGTGTGTGTGTGTGTGTGTGTGTGTGTGTGTGTGTGTGTTGACCTATATGTGGTTGCATGGGTCGATTCATAGCTCCTGGCCCCCTCCTCTTTGCTAGTCGCTACTAGGTTTACTCTCTCCCTGCTCTAGAAGACTTATCGTACCTCTTCTTAAAGCTATGTATGGATCCTGCCTAAACTATTTCACTCTCCAGATCGTTCCACCTCCTGACAACTCTAAGGTTAAAGAAATGCTTCCTAATATTCCTATGATTCATCCGAGTTCCCAACTTCCAATTGAGTCCCCCCCCCCCCATCGTTGTTCCTATGTCCCATCTCTGAAACATTCTGGTCCTGTCCACCTCGTCAATTCCTCTCACCATTTTATAAGACGTTATCATGTCCCTATCCTTCCTGTCCTCCAGTGTCGTCAGGATGAGTTCCCTTAACCTCTCATAGAACATAGTCCTTAGCTCCGGGACTAGTCGCAAACTTTTGTACTTTCTCCAATTTCTTGACGTGTTTGACCAAGCGTGGGTTCCATACTGGTGTTGCATACTCCAATATGGGCCTGACGTACACAGTGTACAGTGTCGAAACGCTATTACTGTATTAGGTTTTCCAGGCGCCCCTATGCTGGAGCAGTTATTTGATTGTGCATCTCAGATGTGCTCGGTATTATATTCACCCCAAGATGCTTTTCCTTGAGTAAGGTTTGCAGTCTTTGGTCCCTCTAGCTTGTCCTTTGTCTGCGGTCTTCTTTGACTTTCCCAACCTTCATCAATGCACTTGGCGCCGGTTACTGGACTAGGCTTGCAGCCTGTCCAGATACCTTTGTAGTCCTGATTTTTATCCACTTGAATTATCCGCATTAGCTTCACATCGTCTGCAAACAGGGACACCTCTGAATCTAACCCTTCCATCATATAATTCACATATACCAGAAACATCACCGGCCCTAGGGCCCTTATGGAACCCCGCTAGTCACAGGCGCCACTCGGATACCTCGTCACGTACCTTCATTCGTTGGTTGTTTCCTTCCTGTTAGGTATTCCCTGATCCACTCTAGTGCCTTTCCTATTATTCCTACCTATTCCTCTATCTTTTGAACTACTGTCTTGTTCAGAACTGTATTGAAAGCCTTCTCACAGTCTAAGAAAATGCAGTCTACCCAGCCATCTCGCCTGCCTTAAGCTTCTCCGTGACTCTGCATAATATACATGTCGGTGACACTGGTCTGTAGTTAATGTTACCTGCCTATCTCCTTTCTAAAAGACTGGGACTACATATGTTGTCTTCCATATCTCAGGCAGTTGCCCAGTTTCGATATGTGTTGAAGACTGTTAGTTGCACATACAGTGCCTCTGCTCCCTTTCTCAGGATCCACGTACGTGTACGTGCGTGTGCATGTGTGCGTGCGTGCGTGTGTGTGTGTGTGTGTGTGTGTGTGTGTGTGTGTGTGTGTGTGTGTGTGTGTGTGTGTGTGTGTGTGTACTCACCTATTTGTGGTTGCAGGGGTCGATTCATAGCTCCTGGCCCCGCCTCTTCACTGATTGCTACTAGGTCCTCTCTCTCCCTGCTCCATGAGCTTTATCATACCTCGCCTTAAAACTATGTATGGTTCCCGCCTCCACTACTTCACTTTCTAGGCTATTCCACGGCTTGACTACTCTATGACTGACGAAATACTTCCTAACATCCCTTTGATTCATCTCAGTCTTCAACTTCCAATTGTGACCTCTTGTGTCAGTGTCCCATCTCTGGAACATCCCGTCTTTGTCCACCTCGTCTATTCCGAGCAGTATTTTATATGTCGTTATCATGTCTCCCCTGACCCTCCTGGCCTCCAGTGTCGTCAGGCCGATTTCCCTCAACCTTTCTTCGTAGGACAATCCCCGTAGCTCTGGGACTAGTCTTGTTGCAAACCTTTGCACTTTCTCTAATTTCTTGACGTGCTTGACTAGGTGTGGATTCCAAACTGGTGCTGCATACTCCAGTATGGGCCTGACGTAAATGGTATACAGAGTCTTGAACGAATCCTTACTGAGGTATCGGAACGCTATCCGTAGGTTTGCCAGGCGCCTGTATGCTGCAGCAGTTATCTGATTGATGTGCGCCTCGGGAGATATGCTCGGTGTTATACTCACCCCCAGATCTTTTTCCTTGAGTGAGGTTTGCAGACTTTGGCCGTCTAATCTATATTGTGTCTGCGGTCTTCTTTGCCCTTCACCAATCTTCATGACTTTGCATTTGGCAGGGTTAAACTCAAGGAGCCAGTTGCTGGAAACAGGCTTGTAGCCTGTCCAGGTCTCTTTGTAGTCCTGCCTGATCCTCATCCGATTTGATTCTTCTCATTAACTTCACATCGTCCGCAAACAAGGACACTTCTGAGTCTATCCCTTCCGTTATGTCATTCACATATACCAAGAACAGCACAGGTCCTAGGACTGACCCCTGTGGAACCCCGCTTGTCACAGGCGCCCACTCTGACACCTCGTCACGTACCATGACTCGTTGTTGCCTCCCTGTCAGGTATTCTCTGATCCATTGCAGTGCCTTTCCTGTTATGTGTGCCTGATCCTCTAGCTTTTGCAGTAACCTCTTGTGAGGAACTGTGTCGAAGGCCTTCTTGCAGTCCAAAAAAATGCAGTCGATCCACCCCTCTCTCTCTTGTCTTACTTCTGTCACTTTGTCATAAACTCTAGTAGGTTTGGGGTACAGGATTTTCCCTCCCCTGAAACCATGCTGGTTGTCATTATACACTTGTTTCTTTCCAGGTGCTCCACCACTCTCCTCCTGATGATCTTCTCCATGACCTTGCATACTATACATGTTAGTGATACAGGTCTGTAGTTTATGGCCTCATGTCTGTCTCCCTTTTTTAAAAATTGGGGGACTACATTTGCCATCTTCCATACTCGGGGAGTTGCCCAGTTTCAAATGATGTGTTGAAGTTCTTTGTTAACAGTACACACAATATCTCTGCTCCCTCTTTAAGGACCCACGGAGAGATGTTGTCTGGTCCCACTGCCTTTGAGGTGTCAAGTTCGCATAGCAGCTTCTTCACCTCCTCCTTGGTTATATGTACCTCATCCAGCACTTGCTGGTGCACCCCCCTGCTCTGATTTCCTGGAGTCCTACTGGTTTCCATGTAAATACTTCTTTAAATCTTGTGTTGAGCTCCTGACATACTCCCAGTCGTTTCTTGTGAATTCCCCCATCACCCTTCCTCAGTCTGATTACCTGGTCCTTGACTGTTGTTTTCCTCCTGATGTGGCTGTACAACAGCTTTGGGTCAGTCTTGACTTTCGATGCTATGTCATTTTCGTATTGCCGCTGAGCCTCCCTTCTTATCTGTGCATATTCGTTTCTGGCTCTTCGGCTAATCTCTTTATTTTCCTGAGTTCTTTGTCTTCTGTACCTTTTCCATTCTCTAGTACACCTAGTTTTTGCCTCCCTCCACCTTTGGGTGAACCAAGGACTCGTTCTGTTCTTCCCATTATTTCTGTTTCCCTTGGAAACAAAACTCTCCTCTGCCTCCTTGCATTTTGTTGCGACATAGTCCATCATTTCTTGTACTGGTTTTCCTGTCAGTTCCCTCTCCCACTGAATGTCTTGAAAGAAGTTTCCTCAAGCCTGAGTAGTTCCCCCTTTTGTAGTTTGGTTTTCCCACCCTATTCCTGCTGCTCTCTCCACTTGGAGCTCAACTATGTAGTCGAAGCACAGAACCACATGATCACTAGCTCCCAGGGGCCTTTCATACATGATATCCTCGATGTCAGAACTACTCAAGGTGAATACAAGGTCCAGTCTTGCTGGTTCATCCTCTCCCCTCTCTCTGGTAGTGTCTCTAACATGTTGATGCATGAGGTTTTCCAGTACCACATCCATTATCTTGGCTCTCCATGTTTCGGGACCCCCATGGGGCTCCAGGTTTTCCTAGTCAATCTCCTTGTGATTGAAATCACCCATAACTAGTAACTTTGCTCCCCCCATGTGTGCTCTCCTGGCCACCTCGACTAGTGTGTCGACCATTGCCCTGTTGCTCTCATCGTATTCTTCTCTTGGCCTCCTGCAGTTCTGTGGTGGGTTGTACATTACTGCAATTATCACCTTATGTCCCTCAGACTGGATTGTTCCTACTAAGTAGTCCCTTTCGCCCGTGCCATCCATTCCTTCCATTTTCTCAACCCCCCACTAGTTTTTAATGAGCAGTGCAACTCCTCCTCCCCCTCTCCTCCCCCTCTCCTCCCTCTGTCTTTCCTGAGGATTTGATATCCGGATGGAAAGATTGAATCTGTTATTATTCTGGTGAGTTTTGTTTCTGTGAGTGCTATTATGTCTGGGGATGTCTCCTTGATTCTTTCGTGCCACTCCTCGTACTTATTTGTTATTCCATCGGCATTTGTATACCACACCTTCAACTTCTTTTCTAAGATTGTGGTCTGGGAGGTGTATTGGGGTTGGGGAAGTGGGAGACCTGATAAGGAACTATGGGTGGTTGCTGTGGGGGTGGAGTTTGTAATGCAGTGGGTGGGGGCATTGGATGTGGCATGGGTGTTTTGGTTTAGAGTGGTTGCATTGGGGTTGACCTGGTTGGGAGGCTTCTATAGGAAGTTGTGAGGGAGGCTGTATTTGATCTTCCTGTGTCTGGGATCTCCTGTCTGTCTTCTCCATCCCCTCTCTTTCCTTCTTTCGCCTTTGTACCATCTCTCTCTGTTTCTGCCTTTCTGCTTGTGTTCTGTCACGGTCGAGATACACCTTCCTGTATGCCGGCATGTCCCTTAATCGTGCTTTCTCCTGCAGGATCCTGTTCCGAGTCGATTCTGCCTTGAAGGTCACTTTCACTGGCCGGGTTTTTTTTTTTTTTTTTACAAACCCCCCTATTCTCCGAAAATTTTCCAGCTGGGTCATGTCGTCTTCTCCTATTGCTTTCATGATGCTTTCAATTGCTTTTTTTCCCCCTTGTTTTCTTGCTTCATATGTTTCCCGTTCAACTTCCTGGAGCCCATACACAAAGACTGACCTCACCCTTTCATTCTCCCACTGCATATCCCTATTCATCCCCTCATTCAATTTGATTTCCTCCATTGCAGCTTTCCTTTCTTCAGTTTCACTAGCTAATGTACTTGGGCTCAGTGGCCTGTCATTTTCCCTTCTCGGCTTTTCCTGGCCTCCACATATAGCTTAGCTCTTTCATTTACTACAGTCTCCACTGATTGAGCTTCTACATGCAGTTTTGCTCCTTCTTTCCCTACAGTCCCCTTATTTGTGGCTGAGGTAGCAGTCTCTGTTGTCAATCCCAAAATGTTCTTTAGTTCTTTAGGCTGTTTCAGATTTTTCAGTTCCTCTTCTAAACTCTGTATCCTGGCCTCTGCTGCTTTGATTTGCACCTCCCACTTCCTGCTTTCCATGTCTATCCTCTCTTCCATTCTCATGCTAAGTTCTTCTAGTTTCTTTTCCCATTCATGTTCCCTTTTTGTGAGCTCTGCTGCCCAATCTTCCTTTGCAGTTTCCTCCTCCCGTCCCTTGGTTTTTCTTGCTCTCTGGCAACCCATTTTTGTTTTATCCTGATTGCCTCAGAGTGGGAAACCTATGTAATTCTGTATGTTAGGTTAGTATTGTGTATGTCAGAGTGTGGGGGGGGGATGAGGTAGTGGAGGAACTGTGGCTATGTGGGATAGTGGGGAGGGGGAGTGGGAAGGAGGGAGAAGTGGGTGAGTGGGAGAGGGAGAGGGGGAAGGAGGGAGAGGTGGGGGGGGGAGGGTGAAAGAGGGAGGGGCGGGATCAGGTGAAGGAGTGAGATGTCGGTGGGGGAGGGGGGGGAGTGTATGTGAGAGTCTGGCAATGTGTGTGTGTGTGTGTGTGTGTGTGTTGTGTGTGTTTTACTCACCTAGTTGAGGTTGCGGGGGTCGAGTCCGAGCTCCTGGCCCCGCCTCTTCACTGATCGCTACTAGGTCACTCTCCCTGAGCCGTGAGCTTTATCATACCTCTGCTTAAAGCTATGTATGGATCCTGCCTCCACTACATCACTTCCCAAACTATTCCACTTACTGACTACTCTGTGGCTGAAGAAATACTTCCTAACATCCCTGTGATTCATCTGTGTCTTCAGCTTCCAACTGTGTCCCCGTGTTACTGTGACCAATCTCTGGAACATCCTGTGTTGTGTGTGTGTGTGTGTGTGTGTGTGGTGTGTGTGTGTGTGTGTGTGTGTGTGTGTGTGTGTGTGTGTGTGTGTGTGTTGCATGTGTGTGTGTGTGTGTGTGTGTGTGTGTGTGTGTGTGTGTGTGTGTGTGTTGTGTGTGTGATGTGTGTGTGTGTGTGTGTGTGTGTAGGAGGGGTGGGCGTTAATGGTTCTGAAGATCGTCAACCCAGCTGCCAAATCCAGACCACGACTCCTTAACTGAAATATTACAGGAACACCACTCCTTACAATACCTTGATTTTACAACCTTTCCATGAAGTTGTCAAAACATTCAGTGCCTAGCAATAATATATATATATATATATAATATATATATATATATATATATATATAATATATATATATAATAATATATATAATATATATATTATATATATATATATATATATATATATATATATATATATATATATATATATATATATATATATATATATATATATATTCTTTCTTTCAACGTACCAGCCGTATCCCACTGAGGTGGGGTGGCCCAAAAGAAAAAACGAAAGTTTCTCCTTTTAAATTTAGTAATATATACAGGAGAAGGGGTTACTAGCCCCTTGTTCCCGGCATTTTAGTTACCTCTTACGACACTCATGGCTTACAGAGGAAGAATTCTGTTCCACTTCCCCATGGAGATAAGAGGAAATAAACAAGAACAGCTTGTGCTGCTGGGTCTGGTACAGTGCTCCATCCTTGAGTGGGGATGACCAGGCTGGGTGGGTCATTGGGATAATCCGACCTGCTCTGCATGGGTCAGTAGGCCTGTTGCAGTGTTCCTTCTTATGTTCTTAAGAACAAGAATTAGAAAATAGAAGAAAACCCAGAGAGGTGTGTATATATATGCTTGTACACGTATGTGTAGTGTGACCTAAGTGTAAGTAGAAGTAGCAAGACGTACCTGTAATCTTGCATATTTATGAGAGACAAAAGACACCAGCAATCCTACCATCATGTAAAACAATTACAGGCTTTCGTTTTACACTTACTTGGCAGGACGGTAGTACCTCTCTGGGTGGTTGCTGTCTACCAACCTACTACCTACGTGTGTATATATATATAGATATATATATATATATATATATATTGTAATAATTGCGAAAATCAGTTGGAATATCAAGAAATTAATACACATCACTGATGCTAACTAAATTTAGGCTGATCTTTGATTAGGCATGATTGTATTATACAAATGTTTAGCAAGGCTATGTTGCTAAGTTAGTTTTGGTGAAAACTGAAAAAAACGCATAAAAAGCCAAGATACTTTAATATATCTATAATGTCATAAAAAATCAGGAAGAGGAACTTTTTAAGGAAATTGGTTTGTTTGACCTCGAGGGTTTTAAGCGCGATAAACTGAAGTGATGAGCTATGCATGTTAAACGTCTTGGGAAAACAATCTGGTTTTGGGTATGTATGTTTTGTACAGGTTTTATTACTTTCAGTCATCGTAAGTTCCTCTCTCCAATGCTCGGGTTATTTGAATAAACACATTAAAAAAATGGCTTCGACATGTCTGGCTGCGCAGTGTTTGGGTCAGCCCGGGTAACATTCACATCTGAAGGCTTACCATGGGTGGTGAGGATGGGCTGAAAAACTAGACACTAACTTAACGTAAACTTCAATCACTAAAATGAAGGAAAAAAAAAAAAAACGTAGATCATCTCTTGGTGCTTTTTGGCAAGAACTTTCGGGGTTAATTTCCAAAGCAACAATTGTTTTGCAAAACAATGCAGACACTAGGTACTTGTACCTTAAGTAATGAACTTTATACAGTGAATATCCCTAACACTACACGCACAATATATATGTATATACCACACTCACCACTCTCCCTTTAACCTATACACAAGCTATATGCCACTTCCCCCTACCCCCTCCCTGTCTCATACTATACTCCAGGCATATACCACACTCCGCCATTCCCCTCCCTCCCACGCTATATGCGTGTTACATACCATTCCCCTCCCCCCCCCACCGTCACGATACGCGAAGTATATACTGTACCACACTAACGGGCCCTCCCACATACCCCCACCCACACAGATGTGTAGCGGCGTAAGTGCGTAGTAGTTTTTACTGTTCATATTAAACCTATTATTGCATCCAGGCATCATTCACTATAATTTTAATAGCATGACGCTATCAACCAATCTCGTGGCTTGGTTGATAGCTCACACACCGAGGATCCGGGATCGATCCCCGGCACGAGTGAAACGTTGGACATGTTTCCTTACACTTGCTGCCCCTGCTCACCTTGAAGCAGTAAGTAGGTACCTGGGTGCCAGCCGATTGTTGTGGATCGCATCCTGTCCTAGGGGACAAGATTAACCTTGCCCGAAATGCTCTGTATAAGCAGGGACTTTCTATATAGTATGTCAGCGAAGTCAGCTAGGTCTTTAATAATTATATAATGTACTCGTAGAAGAAATAATATCATTATTGAGTCATACAGGTGAGGTAACATTACTTGTTACAATTTAGAATTCCACTTTTGAGGATGCTGCTTCCTCAAACACTAGCATTATATAATTTGCGATGTGACAACACTTCCTGTGAGTGTTGTCGAGTTCTCTGATCAAGACCAGCCCAAGGAAAGACTTCACTGTTGACCATCTGGCAAGGTTAACATATTAATGAATATTTAAAACCTAGGCCATAGTTCATAGATTGCTTAATGATCGGTCCAGCGTCGACCAATCATAAAGCAACTTCCGAAAAAAAGTGAATTTTCCGACGGGTTTACCTAACTACTGTTAACTAAAGCGACTAGTCAATGGGTCCAGGTAGGACCGAAACGTCATCATAAGCTTCTTCCTCCTACGTGGGGGAATTTGTGTATTGTTCCAGTCAAGGTATTGTGCCTTTTTGTTGTTTACATAGCATCCTCCTTGGTATGGCATTCTGTTAGTGCTCTGATTAGGTTAGGTAAGATTACGTTTATTAAATCAACCTAACCTACGAGAGAATGCTATGTTTATGTAAGAGATGGAGAGTACTAACCGGCTCCACGTAGGAGACTTGGCTCAACCAACATAAAAATTGTTTTCCACCACGAGTCTGATGCTAAGTTTAATACGCTCTGCAACTCGTGGGAAAACATTCATTTGTGAGAACGCACTGAATAAGAGTCACACTTGGCAGATATATTTGGGAAACACAAGCACCCTATGGACCCAACTCGTCCTCCAGTTTAACAGAATACGTGTAGATACCAAGGCTTCGATGAGCAACGATTTAGTGAAAACCTGGTAATACATGTAAACGCTTCAGTGCAAGGACAGAAACGTTCCCTGCTACTATACGTAAGCCTCCCCTCTATATCTTTATTGGTAATTAACTATACATACATGCTGATTAATTTACGGTAACCAAACTAAATGTAGACTTTTTTAAGCTTGGCATAAGTATACATATAAGGATAACTTTAACATCTACATCATACACCAAAATACTATGGATACCTCATGAAGCTAAACTGGTCATTTAGGAAAATTATTTGCTAAGGCGAAATGTATGGAGTCAACAATAATTGCCACGTCTAATACAGTCATTTAAAACACGAAGTTTTGACTTCCGTTAAGTTTCTCTCATCTCTCTCCAGGCTATGACCATCAGTGGGTTCTACAACTAATCTGGTTTTGCCTATTAAATAACTATATACCGTTTTGTCTCTATTGAACGGACAAAGCTTCGAGCGGGCGAAACGTTTCCATAATAAATTTCCTACCGATGCACCTGTGCGTTATTCACATACCTGTCGGTATATGACACCCCTCTATGACCAGGACAATAACTATTGTCAGGCCATCGTGCCCTCGTGGCTGTAGCCTTCACAACATTCCTCGTCTAGTGAAGTGTCGAGCCAACTCTCCTAACAATGAAAACAGTGTACTGACAGTTGGGTTCAACTCGTGCATCTCACTAGGATTATTGGTTTAGGTGATAAAATTAGCTCAATGTGAGCACCAAGTCGTTTTAGCTTCTTGCTAATTAGCACGTGGCAACTGAGAAGCTCTCGACTCGGAAAAAAAAATCATGATCAGCATTTGCCTAATTTATTAATGCTGACAGCTCTAGTCCAATTAATAGATGCTGATTAGTTTGCTCAATTTACTGATGCCGATCAATTCTAATCCAGTTTATTAATGATAAGGTTAGCCTAATTTAATTATCTTGATCAGCTCTTACTCGAGATATTGAAAACTTCATACTTGCCAGTCAAACCATACCACGGGCGGGATTGAACCCGCGGTCTGTCTCAAAACTCCAGACCGTTGCGTTAGTCACTGGCTAACGCGACGGTCTGGAGTTTTGAGACTCTCTGACCGCGGATTCAATCCCGCCCGTGGTATGGTTTGTTTGCAATCGTGTCATTACGATTTCGTGAGTCTTGCCAGTCAACAAAAACATTATCAACGTTACTAGGTTATAAATTCGCCCCCCCCCCAACATCCTCTCAGTCAACCACATCGAAGTTATCCACATTCTTAGATAGGTAAAATTTGACAAGATTAGGTTTGATTGCTGTGTTAATTTTTAGATACATGTTGGGACAAGGTTAGGTTAGATTATGTTAATTGAAGTGAATAAAACGCGTAAATATGTTTTGCTGGTTTTCTTGAGGGGGAACCACTGAATTTCACGCAGTGCGGGCTATTCATCGCGATCACGAACGGTTTTGAGGTCTCTGACCTCAAAACAATTCCTGATCAACCAGGTTGTGGTGCACACGCTGGACTGCGGGTATCGGGCACTTACAGCTTGAGTGATCACGCCAGCAACCAGAAGACCTGGTCTGGGACCGAGCCGCCGGGGCGGTGACTTCTGGAAGCGACCAGTCAGTCAGACTATTTATGATTAGGGGTTAAGAATCTTCAAGTGATCCACTCTACTTTGAGATCACCGTTACAGACGACACGGTAAAAAGTTGTGGGATTTAAAAAGCTTTTTCATTTACAATCATTCAGAGCTTTTGAAAATATTATATTCTTGTTTCAATGAGGTAGCACTAAACCCGCAGGGATGATTCCCAAACTGAGAGATGTTTATGTACGTCTCCTTAAACCAGCTACCCAATGTTCATTTAGCTGTAAATAGCTACCTGTATGTTATTCGAGTGCTGTGGACTGCATTCTAGTATTATACTTTGAGAGATCAGGTTTTGATAGATGAAGTAGGGTATCAGCTCTCAGCTCGTGAATTCAACTGTGAACAAAAGCGAAATAATGGCTACTTCCTACGAGACGTGAGTGCAAAACAAAAACGAATCAAAACCGAGACGAGCTCATCACAGGCCGCCTCCATCCCTCCTACGGAAAGTTTGACGATATCGTGCTACTAAAAATTTCCAGTTCAGGCCGACTGTTTTCATTTATGTATGTATGAAACATATCCTGTGCGATGAAATTTAACAGAAAAATACAGGTAGCTTTTGTTCCCACAATATAACTCTTACAGAATAGGGTAGCTGCAGTGTTTGTACTTAGTTTTATTTAAAAAAAAAAGCACATTCTCTGACCACACACACGCCATTTGACAGACAAACGCCATTAGGTGTGTCACTGGTGGAGCGCACATCGTCAAGGTTACCGAGATGCATCACCAGCCAAACTCAGACGGACCAAGCGTGGCGTATTGCAGGAAAAAACTGCACACGTCTACGTTGTTGCAATACCATCTGGCCGCAGTAAATAACACTAGCGAGACGGATAAAGTGTTCGAATTAACCAAAAGGAACAGAGTTTGACTCACGGGCTCGGTGACAGAAATTGGCAAATTTTATACATGCTAACCCTGTATACACATCAGTAAATGAGTATCTGTGTACTCACCTATGGTTTCTTCAGTCCAATACAGAGAATAACAGGGGAAGATGAGGAGTATGACGTAATCAGTCTATCAGCCTGGAGTCGATATATTCAGTCCATCAATCTTGAGAAATGTACCTAACACATCAACTTCAGACTGAGGGACTGACTACCTCATACTCATCTTCGTCTTGTTATTCTCTGTACTGGACTGAAACCACTGGCTGGCGAAACGTTTCCTCTATGAAGTTTCCCAAATTTGCAGAAGTGTCTCATTCTTCAACCGTATACAATACGATGAAAATGATGAATAAGACATATACTACAAGGGGGTATCTTCACTGGCAGAGTTTTGCCTGCACAACAGCCCTCATCAATCTAATACCTGGAGACAGGTGTAGCAATTAAAGACATCACATGTGGGTGGGGCCCACTAGTTTAAAGCCCATCCAGTGGGCCAGAAGTTAGCAACAGAGTTGTAGACCATATCCCCTATACTAAGATTCCATGGTTTTGCTGTGTCAAACATCATTATATCAAAGGAATACAATACCAATAAGTTGACGAGTGAATAACGCATGTGCAACACCTGGGTATCCTCTCTATAATAATACCCAGGTCCTGCACACGTTGTATTCACCAGTTTGTCGGTATTGTACACTTCTGATGTAATAATACTTGTCTAACACAATGGCAACGTGGAATTTTGGCACACAATATACAACTCTATTGATAATCTACTTCTACTAGTGGGTCCCACCTATGACCTGGTCTTCAACTGCGGCATGTCTCATTTTCAGCGACTCATTTGCTAAATCTGTGACCTAACTTAGAGGCCTGACTATTTCCACTAATGGGCCCTAGTCACATGTGACGATGTCTTCAACTGCTGCACCTCTCATCTGGCTCCAGTACATAAATCGCCATCCTAATACCTCAGTATTAGATAGATCAAGTCTGCTGTGAAGGCGAAACACTTCTCTAATAAAGATACCCAGGTATTGCTTATGTCTTATTAATGACCTTAATTTAGGCAGGGCTTCAAAATAAAATGAAGTAAGATAACAGCTATTAGCCTGTAAACTGAACTGTGTATACTCAACAGATTTAGGTTAGTATTCACCAACTCATATTTTATTATGTTATATACGTATATACTGTGTACTAGACGTCTGCATTGAGTACCATGAACAACATAGTGAATTGGGATAACTGACTGAGCATTCAAGAACGTGAGCAACAATATATTAAATTCAGATGTCACAGCTGCATCAGGAATATAAACACCATACTGAATCCAACTATCAATCTTGGTGCTCAGGAATGCTGAAACATACTGAATGAACAACCACCACCCTGGTCCCTGGGCTTCTGCGCTGGCCTTGATGGAGTACGAATGTTTCACTCGACACATCTTGAACATTAGTGACTAATCTATTTTCTACCCAGGACACTTGGCTTCATCATACACAGCCTGCTGGGCAACTGTTCTAGGCACCATACAAAGCATTTTCTAGGTCTGGTGAAAGCCTGTTGTTGATTCATGGGGTTGGTGTGGGCATCTGGCTCTGTAGAGGTTTGGGCAAGGGGGGGGGGGGATGGTCTACCACACTGGGAACATATAGTTCCCATTTCTGTTTGTAGGGAAAATTTTACCCTTTCCAATTCCACGGAAGATTTTGCTAACATATTCTATAAGAACTCCTGGGAAGCAGGGCTCAATACAGCCTTGTGTGTAGACATTTTGTTCTACTACTAAACATCGGTGAATAAGGATACCTATGGTGGTTGTTAGATTTATTCCTCTCTCCTAGTTTTTCATCCATAGTTTCTGAATACTTATTTGTATCAGCTTAAAACTTTCAATGCTAGTATACCATATCTAGAGAGGAGACTTGGAATGTTACTGAGCCGTGCAAGTGCCAATTTGTGAATTTAATTAAAAAAAAAAAATCCTGTGTATTCTTCTGCACAATAACTTAAGAATAAATTTTGTGAATGACTTCAAATTTCTAAATACTGATGCATCTTGTGCATTTGTTTAGGTCCAAATTTGTCAGTTTACCAACACATTTTTAAAAAATGAAAATCATTGGTTTCCATCCAATAACTGGATGGTTCACACTGTTAGTGATCTGTTTATGTCCCAATTTGTTTATTTTATTAAACAAATTAGTATACTGGTTTCCATATGATAGCTGGAGAATGCTGCTGGTCAATTTCAAACTCTCAGCACATGTGTGTTATTATTAGAGTAAATTTCAAATTTTCAGTGATTTTGGACTGTAATGGTTCTATTTTGTAATTTTATTAAATAAACAGGAATATTAGTTTCTGTGCAATTATCTGAAAATGGTCCTTCATATCAGTTACTAACTTTGTGCTGGTGCATGATGCTATCTCCTGGCCTAGCAGACTAACTTGTTTGAGTATCATTAAAATCATTCAATTGGTTTCCACGAAAGCAACTCCCCTGAAAACCAATCTGTAATTAGTACTGTATACAAAAACTAAAGAAGAGTGGTTCCTCTCACATTTTTACTTATAGCTCTTGGGCCTATTGAGGGTGTTTACATTTTTTTAAAACTGGAAGTGCTAAACCCACTGGGTTCCTATAACACCTGGGAAATATTAATCTACAGCTCTCCTGCCTCTTGCAGGTATTGATCGACAGAGCCTGGTATTTTGAGGATGGTAAGCTACAGAAACTTGCAGGTGTTCACTCCCAAACTCCTAGGCCTTGCCGGAAATGCTCTGCACGCACAACCAAATGTCACCCATTTCTGTACAAACATTGTACAGTACTGTATCATGTGAAAATAAATATTTGTCTTGAAACTGTTGATCTATAGTTCCTGAACCTCTTGAAAAGTTTGAGTTATAGTAGATAGGTCTCTTGAGAGAGCTGACCTGTAGCTCTTATGTCCATCGAGGGTTTTGAGGTACAGCTATTAGGCCTCTTGTGTGCACTGAAGATATATGACATAGGTGTTAACCCTTTCAGATCACAAAGTAACTGAACAAATCTACTTTCCCTTATTCTCTCCCTGAAAGAGAATAAGATAATCAGTGGGGGTATCATTCATAATCATGCTTTTTTTTTCCACAGCGGTTTTCTATGACCAGGGGTTAAGGGAGAAAGTTAAAACACAATGTGGGCATCTTGTATCAATCCCAATTTGTTTCAGGTCTATAAAGTTGAGTTGGAGCTCTCTGCATGTTATTGTGCTCAGGATGTTTGTGGACAGCCTAGAGTTGTAATTTATATTCATCAAGAAATGGCATCCTAACATAGGCCTTAGTCAGATGGTGAATCTTTCAGTGGCTTCTTGTAACTGACTCCAGCCTTTCCAGCAGGGTATTACCTGCAAGGTCTTAGGAACTGCACAATAAAATAAACACTCAGGTTTTACCGGTCTTGCCCAAGGGCCAGTTTGTGGGTTTACCATGGTGTGCAGGCCCATCAAGATATACATGTACATCAATAAGTCTGCATACTTGTAAATATAATGAGGTATAATTTTGTATAGCCCTGTTGTAAAAGGTCATTTCCACTTCATGGGCTAAACACGAGTTGGCTGGTGTTTAGCTTGAATTTGATTAACGTGATAATTAGTTAGCGCCAGTCGTGGAAAAACCTTTTCTTGACAGTGTCTGCATGGTGGAAAAATAACTTGGAAAATAAATTTCTCTGTAATATGTGGCAAAAAGGCTTAAAAGAAAAGTATGAAAATGGATATCCAAATTTCTAACAGACAGATCACAATGAATGACTAAACAAAAATAGTCAAGTCTACCTGGAGGGTGTTCCAGGGGTCAACATCCCTGTGGCCCAGTCCTTGACCAGGCCTCCTCCTTGATGGATCAGGACCTGATCATTCAGGGCCATTTCTGGTGGCTGCACATAGTCGCAAGTACAAACCACAGCCTGGCTGACTGAGTACTAACTTTAGATATCTGCTCAGTTCTCTCTGGAAGGCAGCCAGAGGTCTATTGGTAATTCCCCTTATGCAAAAATTTCAGCAACACAATGCATGATCCTAACACATTTACTGTTGCTAATCCTCATTGCAGACATAAACAGAAACATTAACTACAAGTTGATACTGAATGAGGAGGATAAAGGATATGTGGCCCAACTACTTCTGATTTTTACCTGATAATGACTGTGCACAGTTTACATTATACAAAATCATGAAATTTATGTGAGATGCATATTACATTACCCAGCACTAATACACATGTATACATGAAAGGTATCTATAGGCATACTCATCTTTTGCTGACTAATACAAAAATAAACATGAAAGCTGCCTCAGTAAAACAATAAAAATACATACCTTTTATATCAGCAAAATTTTTCAGTATGCAAAGGAAAATAATGTTTAATGGTGACAGATTACAATTACTTAGATAAGGGATGTATACTATATACCAATCATGGATATATAGTACGAGAGAAAAAGAATGTTCTATGTCCATGGTTGCTATTTCATTCAAGCCATTATACTCTGCTTGAAGATGAAGCTTTGACTGGGATTCAGAAAGTTAAATAAAAAAAGTTTTTTGAGGAACGAGGGAACTATTGATTTGAAAAAGAGATACAGTAATTTGCTATGGTGCAGGGTTATATTTAAGATTTGGCAATCATGAGCTGTGAAACCAAGAATGCTTGTATAGAAGCATGGGAAAGAAAAGGAAAGAAATGTGGACATAATGTTACAACTTAGTTTAGGGACATGCCAACGAATCAGGAAGTTCATGGATTTACACTAGGAAGATGGTGCTGTAGCCTACTACTGTACAGTATAAACAACATCAATGAGTAACATGCAACTGTAAAAAAAAGGTAGGACTGTACTAAAATAAGCAGACTGCACCCCAGCAAAAACATAACACTGATGGCTGCAAGGTTGTAATTGCCCAATATGGTCACATTAGATGCCTAAACCAGGGAAATGCAAAGTTACATACAGGTGAACACCAAAGACCCAAGTTACCTACCTGGGATGCACAGGAGTCCAGTCTTCGGTATCATCAGGTTCTGGCTTGGGAACACGGATCTCTGGCCAGATAGTGTGAACCCACTGCTGGTGAAGAAACACAGCAAGTGCTGCCAGGGTGACTACGAAGTATACTCGTAGTTCACTCCATACCAGCAGCCTATAAACAAACACATCCAAGAATGCATCAGTACATGTACCTTACAAATTAAGCACACCACCAGGAATTACACATAACATGAACTCTATCTTCCTGCAAAATAAATACTGTATTGCAACACCTGAGATTTACTGAAGTTCAAAGTACAGCCTCTCCTCACTCAGCGACGTACTCGTTTACCGACGACTCGGACTTACCATGGGCTCTCTTAAGATAAGATAAGATAAGATTTCGTTCGGATTTTTAACCCCGGAGGGTTAGCCACCCAGGATAACCCAAGAAAGTCAGTGCGTCATCGAGGACTGTCTAACTTATTTCCATTGGGGTCCTTAATCTTGTCCCCCAGGATGCGACCCACACCAGTCGACTAACACCCAGGTACCTATTTGCTGCTAGGTGAACAGGACAATAGGTGTAAGGAAACGTGTCGGAATTTCCACCCGCCGGGAATCGAACCCGGGCCCTCCGTGTGTGAAGCGGAAGCTTTAGCCACCAGGCCACCGGGCCTGATTTTCCCTATCTGTTTATTACAATATACAGTACACTACAGTATAAACTTTTAAAAATATACCAGAAATGTTATAAATGATGCAAAGGTGATATTAAAACAATATCAAAGATGGTTGACAAACCCACTACCATTACAGTATGCTCCTCACTTAGCGACGAATTCGTTTACTGATGTGGTCTTACGAATGGAACTCCATCATTAAGTGAGGAGAGGCTGTAGACTCTTACCAACTAATAAATGCTACCACAGTAAACCCTTGATTTAGCAAACCTCGATTTAAAGGACTTTTGAAATGTGGGACAAAAAATTTAAAATTATATTAAAAAAAAATTATTTCTCATGAACCACAAATAGGAGTAACAGCTGGTATACATAATTTAATATAAAAGTAGGCACAACAGAAAGCATTTCTGGGAACCTAATCATAAGGTTTAAACCTAAATTTAGACCTAGAACTGAGTCAACTGATTTGTAAACAAGGTCCTGTGGTTACAGAATTATTAGTTGCTGCTATCATACAGCAAGACACTCTCTATCCACAACCATCACTATTACCGGCCACCTGTCTCTTCCCTATGGTCCATCTTATCACAATACAGTACACAATACAGTAGTACCGCAAAAATTAAAGTCCATTTGAAATTAAATAGAGTAACTTGCTTAAACTGCTATAATTATTTTCATGTGAATCAATAATAAATATTTCAGAAAAACTTATTGCATGTTTTACATTGTTTCTTAAACCAAGTTTCATATATACAGTGGACCCCCAGTTAACGATATTTTTTCACTCCAGAAGTATGTTCAGGTGCCAGTACTGACTGAATTTGTTCCCATAAGGAATATTGTGAAGTAGATTAGTCCATTTCAGACCCCCAAACATACACGTACAAACGCACTTACATAATTGGTCGCATTCGGAGGTAATCGTTATGCGGGGGTCCACTGTATTCTAAAAAAAAATATTGAATGTGTATATACTGTATGTAGGTACCTTCTCCAGGTCTTAAAAAAATACAATGATGCACTAATTCTCTTGATGCAAAAATACTCAAGTGAATGTAAACACCCATTGGCCAATCAGCTGACTTCATTCCTATATATATTACCGTACCTCTGTTAATATTAATGTTCGGTTGGTAGCGCGCTCAGCTCACACACTGAGGTTCGTGGTTTGATCCCCAGTATGGGTGTAAACATTTTGGCATGTCTTCTTAAGACACCTGCTGTCCTTGTTCACCTAGCAGTAAATAGGTATCTGAGTATTAGCTGACTGGTGTAGGTCGCATCCTGGGGACAAAATTAACCTAATTTGCCCGAAATGTTCTGCATAACAAGGGGCTTTCTATATAGTATGTCACTGATGTCAGCTAGGTCTGTAAGTTGTATCATGAACTTGTAGAAATAAAAGTTGTTTTTATTACTGCCCTTGCAGCATGGCTCTGAAGCAGGCCTCTTCAACTGGAAAGGAATCACTGCAGGCATAAGAACTACTGTATAAAAAGGTGCAGGAAAACAAAGCATATAATGAATGTAAGTGTTATTCTGTAGAAGTAGATACCTTTCTCCCTGTGTGCTCATGAAACAGGAAAAAAAAAAAAATCAACTATCCTACTACAGTACAAAATGTTTAACAGGCTTATGCTCCACACTGATGTCGCAGGGCTGAAAGAAGGTTGAAATATACATAGGCTGAGTCAAATTAATAGAGCAGAAGAGAATATCACTATCATTTAATGGATTAGTAGCTCCTGGCTCATCACAGGCTTAATGACCTGGCTTTCCTTAGCTAGTTAATGAGTTGACTCGCTTGAAAGTTTGGTTACGGTTATTACTTTATATCATAAATTTATGCTTAATACTCCTAGCCACCTTAAGTATTGGATAAATGTGTAAAGTATTGTACCATCCATTTTCAAAGGTCACATGCAAAAAGAGCTGATGCCGTCTATGTGAATGCAGGTAGGGATATATACTATAAGTACCAGCACTAGTAAACCACTGGAATATAGGGAACATCTTCATCACTAAAATCATTGAAATATGAACAGTGCTCAGTTTAAAATACAGCACAATACTTCACATGCCGTATAGCTTTCAATGAAGGTTAGATAAGTTTTAATGAATGTTGGCATGCTCTAACATGGATGCACATTTTGATGAAATCAGAGGAAAAAAAGGCCTCATACCATGCTATGATGATCTGTTTTTTACCTTTTTAAGTTCATATTCTTAATCAGCATATAAAATAGTAAATGTAAAGTGATTTAAAGCAATTTTGAAAAACCACTCCAAAATATGGTTTTAGGGAGAAAAAAAAATTTTTCTATAAAAATGGGAAATCATTGCTTGATCAATTACTTCCCACAAATAAGAAAAATTTCCCACATATATAGCTTTCATTGAAGGTTAGATAGGTTTTGATGAGAATGTTGGCATGCTCTAACAGGGTTGCATACTTCCATGAAATCAGAGGGTAAAAAACAAGCCTTTATCATGCTAAAATTATCTATTTTTAACATATTCTTAATCAGCATATAAAATAATAAAAGTGGAGTGATTTTAAGCAATTTTGAAAATCCACTCAAAAATGGTTAAAAATGCAAGTTTTTAGGAAAACAAAAAACTTTCACCCACACACCCACCCTCACCATCCACACACATCCTCACCACACACACCACACACACACACAACAACACACACACACCTCACCCCCCCCCACACACACACCCCTCACCACACACTCACAAGCACTCACCACCACACACACACTCACCACCCACACACACACACACCCTCCCCCTCAACACACACACCTCAACCCCCACACACACCCCTCACCACACACACACACACACACACACACACCCCTCAACCACATACACACTACAGACACCTACACACACACCACACACAACAACACACACACACACACACACACACACCCCCTCACCACACACACACACCCCTCACCACACACACACTACAAACCCCTACACACACACACACACACCCCTCACCACACACACACTACAAACACCCTACACAGACACCACACACCCTCCACACAAAACACACACCCCTCCAAAACACACACACACCACACACACACACACACACACACACACACCCTCCACACACATCACACACACACACACACACACACACACACACCTCACCACACACACACTACAAACACCCTTCACAGACACACACACACCCTCCACACACACACACAAAACACACACACACACACACACACAACACACACACACACACCCTCCACACACACACACACACACACACACACACACCACACACACACACAACACACACACCACCCTCCACACCACAACACACACAACCTCCAACACAAAACCCACCCTCCACCACACACCCTCCCACACACACACACTCTCACACCACACACAAAACACACACAAAACACACACCCTCCACACACACACACACACCCTCCCACACACACACCCCCACACCCTCCACACACACACAACACACACACACCCTACACACACACACCACTACAAACCCCCTTACACACACACACACACACACCACACAACACACACACACACACACACCACACACACACACACACACACACACACACACCCTTCCACACACACATATTAAAAAAACACTTTCCACACACACTACAAACACCTTACACCCCACACACCACACAATTACAAACACCTTCCACACACACTACAAACACCTTACACACCCCGGGTTTGAAGAGGCGGGCCCAGGAGCTAAGACTCGACCCCTGCAACCACAAATAGGTGAGTACAAATAGGTGAGTACAAATAGGTGAGTACACACACACCACAAAACACACACACACACACACACACCACACACACACACACACACACACACACACACACACACACACACACACACACACACAGTTACTATTATTCAGTCAGTCCTGGTGCACAATTCACTCCTGATACACAATTTACACTTGCACACAAGGTAACATGAGCCTTCATCAAGCAGGGCATCGCACCTTGCCCCAGAAAAGCACGGGTCAGCGCTCTAAATTAGCTAAGAGGAAAGCAAACAGGTTTGCAGCATCCCAGTACAAGGCAATACAACATTATCTTTCCTAGGTGAAACCCCATGTTATGTGGCCTCATTTTTTTATTTACCGCGTCTCGTTATTCGAGATTAAAACTGACACTGACCATTATTATACACATTTTGTATTTGTAGGGAAGCACTAAACTTGTCGGTGCCATACAGTTCCTGGGTAATGGTAAGGGCAGGTTTATTTTTCTCAGGTACAATTATACACAATTTTTGTATGATTACAATTGTCTTTATATACAGTAACATTTATCAATTTACTAGAATAATTAATAAAAAATTCAACGTGATTTCTACTGGGGTTTTCGTAGCACTTTACTCTTAGTAGTTTTGGCTTTGGGTAATCAGGTATGATCCCAGAAAAGTAAATTTA